CTCCCTCCACCCCCCTCCACTCCCTCCTCCTTCCCCCCTTCATTCCTCCCTTCATTCCCCTCCCCCCCTTCCTTTCCCCAGTGGGTGGTTGGTGGGTGCTCTGGTGTGGTTTGCTCCTTCTTTCCTATCAAACATCTATCGTCCTTCTCTCTTCTCCTTTTTTATGTATGTTACTCTCTTGTAACACCTCTAATCTTCAGCTCTTATATGACCGTATTGTTTTGCAAGTGCTGTAAAACTGTTACTAAAACGAAAACCCTCCCCCCCCCAGGCTGCTGACCCTGTGGTTTGACTACGGCCAGTGGCCCGAGGTGTACGACATGATGAGCGAGGGCGTCACCAGCATACAGATCGACAACTGGCTGCAGGTCATCCCGCAGCTCATCGCGCGCATCGACACGCCGCGCTCCCTGGTGCAGCGCCTCGTTCATCAGCTGCTCATTGACATCGGCAAAGCTCACCCGCAGGTAGGTCGGATCTGACGTGGAGGGACTTTTGGTACAAGTGTTTTCTGTTGCTTTACAGTGAAAATGAAGTAGAAGAATGGAAGGATTTTTGGTACAAGTGTTTGCTTATGTTTTACAGTGAAAATGAAGTAGAAGTATGGAGGGATTTTAGTACAAGTGTTTGCTTATGTTTTACAATGAAAATGAAGTAGAAGTATAGAGAGACTTTTGGTACAAGTGTTTGCAAGTGTTTTACAATGAAAATAAAGTAGAAGTATAGAGGGACTTTTGGTACAAGTGTTTGCTAGTGTTTTTGTGCTTATAGTCTGCAGCTTGCACTGAAGCAGAGAATGTTTTTGGGTGTTCTAAGTTCCACTTGAGTTATTATAGTAGTGAAGTGCATATTGTAGTATGCTCTTTCTTTCCTATGAAAGATCTGTTAAAGATCTATTGTCCTTACCTCTCCTTCTTCTTTTCTTTGCATGTTACTGTCTAGAAACATGTCTAATCTTTGGCGCCTTTTTAACCTAATTATGCTGCAACTGCTGTAAAATGCTTATTAAATCTAAACTAAGACTGAAACAAAACCCTCATCTCTCCCTCTCCCTTCCTCATCTCTCCCTCTCCCTTCCTCATCTCTCCCTCTCCCTTCCTCATGTCTCTCTCTCTCCCTCTCCCTTCCTCATCTGTCTCTCTCTCTCTCTCTCTGTGTCTGTGCAGGCGTTGATCTACCCTCTGACAGTGGCCTCCAAGTCCAACAGTCCGCTCCGACAGGCTGCAGCCAACAAGATCCTCAAGAGTATGTGTGAGCGAAGTCAGAACCTGGTGGCTCAGGCTATGCTGGTGAGTGACAACACATGCACGCGCACACACTCGCACTCTCACACGCACACACACACACTCTCACACACACACACACACACACACACACACACACACACACACACACACACACATACATACACACACACACACACACGCACACATGTTGCATGTGCTGTAAAACTTACACGAAACTAAAAGTAAAGTGATTCATGATTGCTGATTTTGTGTTCAGGTATCCGATTTTTACGTTACCTATTTCATAGTGACATCTGACTTTCTATCTTTATAACTTTCTGTTTGGTATTGCTGTTTCAAAATGACTTTTGTGATGATGTGCTTCTCTTTAAGCAAACAAAGTGACTAGTGGCTTATGTTTCTATTTTAAGCAATAGAATAGAACAAAATATTAAACACCTTCACAGCCCAAGAAACACACTTTGATTGATAGTGACTCAAGGTTTTGTGGTTTCTATTTTTTAAAAAATATTTAAATTTGATGTTTCTTAATTCTAAATGACTCGTTTTGCTGTTTCTATTCTGATAACTCACCTATTTTTCCGTGGCCAGGTGTCGGAGGAGCTGATCCGCGTGGCCATCCTGTGGCATGAGCTGTGGCACGAAGGCCTGGAGGAGGCGTCACGTCTCTACTTCGGCGACCGTAACGTGCGCGGCATGTTTGCCACGCTCGAGCCGCTGCACAACATGATCGAGCGGGGTCCGCAGACGCTGAAGGAGACGTCCTTCACTCAGGTGTGTGTCGCTTGGTCATCTTTCACTCTTAGTATTTATCTCTTGGTTAGTATTTTTTTCTTGGTCATCTTTCACCCCGATATTTATCTCTATGTTAGTATTTATCTCTTGGTCATCTTTCACTCAAGTGTTTATCTCTTGGTTAGTATTTATTTCTTGGTCATCTTTCACCCAGGTATTTATCGCTTGGTTAGTATTTATCTCTTGTTCATCTTTCACTCAGGTATTTATCTCTTGGTTAGTATTTATCTTTTGTTCATCTTTCACTCAGGTATTTATCTGTTGGTTAGTATTTGTCTCTTGTTCATCTTTCACTCAGGTATTTATCTCTTGGTTAGTATTTATCTCTTGTTCATCTTTCACTCAGGTATTTTTCTCTTGGTTGGTATTTATCTCTTGTTCATCTTTCACTCAGGTATTTATCTCTTGGTTGGTATTTATCTCTTGTTCATCTTTCACTCAGGTATTTAACAATCGGCAGCCGCTGTAATTGTCTGTACTCAAGTTATGCTTTTTTTTTTTCTCTTCTTTTTTTTCTGTCCCTTGTCCAATCCTGTCAAAATGATGTCATCTGATTAGCATAATGTTGTAAACATGTTGTATTAGCTACAGTCAACTCAAGGTTATGATAAGGTTAGTTTTGTCGATCGTAGATTGTACATTGTTACTTTTTATTAGTTATGATTCACTTGAAGTGGCGAGAAGGAGGGAAAGAGTTATGCTTGCTATTTTTCTCTGATGTTTCCTACAGGGAACTTTTCTCTACGTTGTTTCATGTAAGGAAAGAGTTAAACATTATGTATGCTATTTATTTTTCTGTGTTGGTTTCCAGTAGGCATAAGTATTATGTATACTGTTTTTCTTCGTCTTGTCTCCCTGTTGACATAAGTACTATGTAGGTGGTTGGAGGGTGCTCTGGTGTGGTTTGCTTCTTCTTTCCTATCATAGATCTATCGTCCTTATCTCCCCTCCTTTTTTGTGTTTGTTACTCTCTTGTAACACCTCTATTCTTCGGCACTTATATGACCTTCTTGTGTCGCAAGTGCCATAAAACTCTTACTAAAACTAAAACTGATTTAAGTACTATGTAAAGTATTTTTTCCCCGGTGTTGTCTCCTTGTAGACATAAGTACTATATATTCTATTTTTTTCCTCTGTGTTGTCTCCCTTTAGGCGTACGGCCGAGACCTGATGGAGGCCCAGGACTGGTGCCGCAAGTACCAGCGCTCGGGCGTGGTCAAAGACCTCACGCAGGCCTGGGACCTCTACTACCACGTCTTCCGCCGGATCTCCAAACAGCTGCCGCAGGTGAGGGACTGGGAGCTGTTTGCGTGTTTTTTTCCTCCTCCTGCTCTTCTCGCTCATTCTCTTCCTCTTCTTCTACCCCACCACCCCACCCCCTTCGTGTTTTATTTTTCTTCTTCTACCACATCTTCTTCTGTATCTCGTAACAGCTGCTGCAGGTGAGGGACTAGGGACTTTCATGTTGGTTTTTCAATCAGGCCGAAAGGCTAGAACTCAGATGGCCGCTGGATTGGAAAAGTAAAAGTAAAGTTAGAAAAGTTGGTTTTTCTTCTCCTTCTCCAACTTATCTTCCTTCTCCTCCTTCAACTTATCTTCCTTCTCCTCCTTCAACTTATCTTCCTTCTCCTCCTTCAACTTATCTTCCTTCTCCTCCTCCTCCTCATTTTCTTTTTCATTCTCTACCTCTACTACCAAGTGTTCCGCAGGATTTCCAAACAACTGCTGAGAGTGAGGAATGGAATTGCTTGTAGGTTTTTCTCCTCCTCCTTGTTTTCTTTTACTTCTTCTGTCTTTAATACTATGTGCGGAGTGGGGATCTCCAAATACATGTAGCTTTGTTGATGGGCATTTAAAAAAATATGTACGTTTTATTTTCGTTTTGTCCCCAGCTGACCTCCCTAGAGCTGCAGTACGTTTCCCCCAAACTGCTCCACTGTCGTGACCTTGAACTGGCCGTGCCAGGCTTGTACGACCCCGTACAGCCGATCATACGCATCAAGAGGGTTCAAAGTTCGCTACAGGTCATCACCTCCAAGCAGAGGCCCAGGAAGCTCAGCATATTCGGTAAGTCCATTGTCTCCAGACTGTGGTCTCGATAGATAAGTCATTACGGTACCGGACTCGGAATCACGAGATTAAGACAGACTAGTGATAAAGCTACCAGACCTATAATGGTGAGATTGGGGCAGGGGGGTTCGAGCCTCTGTTTGGTCCGACGTTGTGTCCCTGTGAAAGGCACTTTATACAAATTTTTTTACGTTAACTTCGGTGGTCCGGCCTTTCAAATAACCTTCTGGAAGTGCAAAGGACATTAGACCTACACAATTTCATTTGTCTTATGCAGGAAGGCAGAACTTCTTGGATTTTGACCTTTATGCAAGAAGTTAAACCAAGGAAATGGCCTCCAAAGTTTGGTGAGGTTGAAAACTTCAATGTCTGTCGAAACTGCAAATTTACTTATTTTTTCCCCCTTTTATCAACTTTTTTCTGTAAAATCCAGACAGAAGTAATATTTATAAATGGACATAAAAGGTATTGAGTCAAAAGATAAATTCCATAAAAATTGTCCAAGTGGTGGAAAATGGTTGGTTGTCATTATTTTGATCAGCGTCTGATTTCACAACGATATCACATATATTTTCTAAAAATATCTCTTGCGTCATACCCCACTCCTTCCTTGTCCTCCCCCCCACAGGCAGCGACGGAGAAGAGTATCAGTTTTTACTGAAGGGCCACGAGGATCTCCGCCAGGATGAGAGGGTCATGCAGCTCTTCGGTCTAGTCAACTCCCTGCTCCGTAACAACCCAGACACCTTCCGCAGGAATCTCACGTGAGTCACTTGGGGGGGGCCTCTCCTCTCACAGAATCTCTTTGGCGTCACTAGTGTAACGGTTAGACTCTTCGCAACCGCACTCTGAAGACCCAAGTTTGATTCCCAAATGGGGAGAAATTTTTCCAGAGTATCTTGATTTTTCTGCTAGGATGTTGTTTGTGTCCCTCTCAGCTCAGGTTGGCCCTGACAGGCAGGATCAAAAGCCCATCTCCCAAATGATCTAAACTGGGTTGTTAAGGATGTAAAAGCACATAAATTTTATGAATGTCTCCTCTGACGTGTGACAGAGCACGTTGAAGTGATACATATCGTTGTTGCGTGCCTTTCTCAGAACGCAGTAGGGCGCTTGTGCTCTGGTAAACATTAACACATTCATTGACTTATACATGGACTCTTCCTCTCTCTTTCTCTCTGTCTCCATCTCTGTCTGTTTGTCTGCCTTTCTCTGTCTCTCCTTCCCTCAGTTGTTTCTGTCTCTCTGTTTTACTTCTTTCTCGCATTGTGTGACTTATTGTGTTGGTGTGCTTCTCTTTACTCATGCTCAAAACTTAAGTCAAATTTTCATACACATATGTACACCACACAATCTTATGCACACACACACGCACTCACACACACGCACGCAGGCATGCACGCACGCGTGCACGCGCACACTCACAAAGAAACACACACATATTGGATGCTATAAACAATGAGCCTGCTTGCTGAGTGTTTGTCGACTCAATTTGAACAACAACATTATTTCTTTCTTTTTCTCTTTTCCAGAATCACCCGTTTTGCTGCCATTCCTCTGTCCACAAATTCTGGCCTGATTGGCTGGGTGCGGAACTGTGACACGATCCACGCCCTGATCCGCGACTACCGAGAGAAGAGGAAGATCCTGCTCAACATAGAACACAGGGTCATGCTCAGGGTAGGTGGTGCCGGTTTGGTCTGGCTTTTTGTACACTCATTTTGCAGTCTTGTTCTGTTCTGGATCTCAGGTTTTTTAAAGCTTCTTTTGGCTTTCTTACCGAACATCTATTGTCCTTATCTCTCTTCCTTCTTTTAGATTTGCATGTTACTCTGTTGTAACTTCTCTAATCTGTAGCACTTGTATGACCTAACTTGTATGACCTAACTTGTATGACCTATCTAAATGCCATCTGTGGTGTAGTGGTTAAGTGCATTGCTGTTGCAGGCTGGAGACCCGAGTTTGATTTCAAAGTGAGGAGAAATTTTTCTGAGTATTTTGGTCTTTCCTCTTGCATCTCTCTAAACCTGGGTTGGCCCTGATGATAGGCAGTGGGTGGTTGGCAGGTGCTCTGGTGTGGTTTTCTCCTTCTTTCAAACTTCTATCGTCCTTATCTCTTTTTCTTTTTTATGTTTGTTGCTCTCTTGTAACACCTCTAATTTTCTGGTGCTCATATGACCTTATGCAGTTGCGAGCGCCATAAAACCTCTACTAAAACTGGCTAAAACGAAAAATCCGCCTCTTAAATAATGTAAAATGTGCCGATGGAGGCATAAACACACCATTTTTAGAAAAACCTATTTGTGTTGCAAGTGCTGTAAATCATACTACAACAAAGACTAAAGATGTCCCTGTGTTTCTGTCCAGATGGCGCCTGACTACGACCACCTGACCCTGATGCAGAAGGTGGAGGTTTTCGAACACGCCCTCGAGCACACACAGGGCGACGACCTGGCTCGCATACTCTGGTACAAGTCGCCCAGCTCTGAGGTAAGCCCACTACTGCCGTAGCACGCTCTTTACAAAAAAACCCCCCCACCATGTCGAAATTGTGATTTACTTATTTTGTGGGTTAAAAAAAGAAAGAATCCAGGTTGTGGACATGTGGTTTTTACAGATGACTGCTTCAGCTAGAATTACCAAATGAAAGAACGAATAAGTGTTCAGGAAGAACTTTATACACAGCTGTAAAGATCAGCAAAGGGAGACTTGAATACTATGGTTATATTTTGATCTCGATGAGATGCTCAATGTGCATCGCAACAGAAAATAGGTCAGGTAAACACATGCCTGATTGAGAATACTATTTAAAAAGAAACAGAAAAAGTCCCCTCTCAATACTTCTTATAAAACTATCGCACAATTCAACATTCTGGTACATTGATAAAAATCCAATATTACAATAAAGAGGTCTGTGGACATATACCTACAAACCAGAACATACATATTGTAGAAATGTACAGTTGGAAATACAGTTGTGAATCGCAAAGTTATGGTAAACAACTCACAATGTGTAAAGTGTGAGTCTACAAGTCAGATAAAAATGATACCTAAATGCTCAATGGTTACAAAATAGTGTCATCTCATTATGAACCCCCTTCCCCCGAGGTCTGCATAGGAAGTTTGTCATCTCTAACCAGTCTCTCTCTTTCTCCCCCACTCCTCCCCCCGTCCCATAGGTGTGGTTTGATCGTCGCACCAACTACACCCGATCCCTGGCTGTCATGTCCATGGTGGGCTACGTGCTGGGTCTGGGAGACAGGTGAGGACACTCTCTCTCTCTCTCTCTTTCTCTCTTTCTCTCTTTCTCTCTCTCTCTCTCTCTCTCTCTCTCTCTCTCTCTCTCTCTCTCTCTCTCGCTCTCTCTCTCTTTCTCTCTTTCTCTCTC